TTTTCCATTTTGCCTTTGAGAGTATAGACTGTGACTTGTAACACCTGTAAATATTAATAAGCTCTTCACATTGTAAGAATTCTAAGTGAGATATCATGAACTGCACATTTAAAAGATAACTGAAACAGCAACTTTATTTCAATAAGAACAAAAAGTCTGTTTATTCTAAATCCCAGTATTTGGGCTCCACATCAACTTAGAAAACCTATACATTTAGAAAAAGACTCCATTACAGTTTTGGAAATTAGAGTGATGGTGGCCAGAGAGGGAAATGTAGTTCTGGTGAACAGAGTTGGATTAATGGTCTGACCAGTCCGTTCCTCTTTTTTATCTGCTAGGAACGGGAGCCTATATAGGAAGATCCCAGGTGGCTGTACCTCTGGCATACACCAGAGATTATCATTACATCTTCATTTACTTCCTCAAAAGAACTTCATTTACTTCCTCCAGGGCTATGTCTACACTTGCGGCTTCTTGCTTGAGAAATATGCAAATGAGGCTGTGTGGAATATCCCCGAGCCTCATTTGCATACCTAATAAGCCGCAAATTTTGCAGGAGAGGCTCTTGCACCACAAGGAGCTGTCTACACTGCCCCTTCTTGTGCTAGAAAAACCCTCTTGGCAGCAGTGTGGGGGGAGGCGGAAGCTACCTCTCCCCCCACAAGTAACTGTTGAAACTTTCACCTGTTACATTTTACTTAAATAAACACATTTTAACATCCCTACTGCACTAATAAATTATACCTAGTGTGGGAATATGTTAACAATATCCAGAGAGAGGGTAATGCCCTCCAAGGCAAGAAAATCAATTCTCCTTGCCCTTTGGTGTCAGAATAATAGAAAGAGATCCTAAAAGTTTTCTCCAGCACATCACTGGTATAGAACTGCAAGGTCTAACAGCACCTACTGAACTTATGCTGGAGGTTCACCCTTAACAAGACTCTATGGGTGAAAATTTCAGATACAGTAAACCAGTGGTCTCCAACCTTTTTACCCCCCAAGATCACTTTTTAAATGTCAGAACAAGCCAAGATCTACCGCCCCATCCTTCTCCCAAGACCCCCACCCCTTCCTTAAAGCCCCGCCCTCTCTGTTCTCCTCTCCATCACTTGCTATCCCCAGCCCTTATACACACTCAGGGTATGGCTACACTGCTGCTTTGTTTTTTTAAATTCTTCTGTATGAAGAGGTTTTTCCAACATTTTGCTGTCTAGACTGGGCCAAATATCCTTGTGGAATGAGGAATAAAGGGGTTACCGAAAGAGCATGGTTGCTCTTCCACTAAAAAAAGTGGAAGAACAAATGCGTCCCCGGATGCGGAAGAGTTTTTTCCAGGATACCTCTGGAGTCCCAGAAAAACTCCGGCAGTCTAGCTGTACCCTCATTGGGTTGAGACAGGATGTGTGGGCTCTAGGGTGGGAATGAGGGATTTGGGTGTGGGAAGGGGTGAGACATGCAAGCTCTGGGAGGTAATTTATATGCAGGAGGAGGTGGAGATGGGGATGCTGGCTCCAGGTTGGGAAGTTTTTGGGTCAGGTGGATGGTTGGGGTACTGAGCAAGCCATAGGCTTGTGGATGTGAGGGTACAGGAGTTTGGGTTGAGGTATGTGAGGGGCTCAGGGCAGGGAGGTTGGGAGTATGATGGCACCAGGACACAGATTTGCGGTGTGTGGATGGTGCAGAAGTGTCGTGGCAGAAGACTGAGGATGTGGGGGTGCAGGAGTTTGGGGATGTGAGAGGCTCAGGACAGGGAGCTCCAGTATATGATAGGCTCAGATCTAGGGTCTGGGGTGGGGTGGAGGTGCAGGAGTGTTATGATGCTGTGGCCAAATGGGGGCTTGGCCACAATTGGAGGGTTGTTGGCCAGACTTCATTTTTAAATAAAATATGTCAAACACAAAAAAGTTTCAGCATTGTCTTTATTTATGAGAAGGGCAGGGAACCTGTTTTGAGTCAGGGATCAGTGACCCACAGAAAAGTCAGTTGGGGCCACAAGTGAGATGCAAAAAAATAATTCCTCCAAAACCCTCCCCAAGCCTCACTAATATGGCTCCAACTGTGCTGGTGGGAGCAGGGGACATGGTACTGGGGAAAGGTGCTAGTGGGTGCTGAGGCAGAGTGCCAGTGGGGGCAGGGAGTCTGCGGCACATGCCTCCCCCTGGGACTCCTATCCCCTCTCCCCCTGCCCGGTGCACCTCCTCTGGGAATGGACTCCTACCCCCCACCCCCCAGAAGAGGAGGGAAGCTCCAGCAGGCGCCTCCTCCCAGGACTCCTCCCCACTCCTACAGAGGAGGAAAGCTCCGGCGCGTGCCTCCTCTGGGGACTCCTCCCCCTCAAAGAGGAGGGAAGCCCCGGCATGCACCTCCTCTGGGGATTTCCCCCCAGCAAGTCCTTGGCACACCACAGACCTGGGTTGTGGTGCCACGCCGGCTGTTTGGGGGAGAGGGAGCAGCCAGCGCACTTCCTGAAATCCTGGAAGTGGCGCACAGCTGCTGGACTTCCTTCCACCCCACAGGAAGCCGGAACTACCTCCATTGTTACTAGAGGAAGGTAGTGGGGCTTCTTGGGGGTGGAGTGAAATGGGGGGCCCCCCTGAACGCCTTGTGATCAACTGGTTGAGCCCTCCCAATTGACCAATCAATTGCGATTGACGGGTTGGTGACCACAGCAGTATGCAGTGCCAGTCTTTGACCAAATGGCACCCCAAACAAGGGATGTCTTTAGTGCCCCCTTCCAATCGTTAAACTTTTTTTTTTTTTGCATTTGTACCCCACTTCACAACTTCGGAGCATGGGTGGCACGTGTGCTTTATTGGTCATATAAGGTTGACTGGCAATGCCCTGCCCCTTATATACACCCATAAGGGCATGTCTGACAACTTCTAGGAGGTTTGAGGAAAATGCAGTTATCAGAAAGTCTGGAAGGTTAAAACAAGATTCTACAAAAGATCCAGAACATTCTAGGAGGTTAGTAAAAAAAATGAATCCACATACAGAGTACCTGTGTTTAGCATTCTATTTTCCCTTTTGCAACTAACAACAAAAAAAAGCACCCGGCACCCCTGGAAGTTACCTAGGTCACCTGATTCTAAATTAAGCCCTGGCTGTACTTACAAACTTGCTTTTCCTGTATTCCCTGCTGTCTTCAGAAGCTTCTTCTGGGGCCCTGTCATGCAAAATTAAAAATCGTTTGACTGTTAAATTGTTTGGTACTTTATTAATGATGCAAGGGTATCTTAGTAAATAATGGTTTAAAAGGCACAGTGCAGCTAAATAATTAACAAAATACTATTTGGTTAAGTGAGAGAGCATAAAAGGAAGGCATGGAGAAAATGCTTCCCTTGAGCAGAACAGCTAAGTGCTAACCCATGTAAGAATAAATACAGATATGAGAGAGATGGACATACAAATTTGAGTATAAAGGGTAATTACTTCGGGAATATATTCAAGCTTTTGTCTACTAAATTACCATTTTCTATTATGCAGATGTGTGTTGTTAAACTCAATTTTCTTTTTAAAATAATCTGATTTTTAAAACTTTTTTCCTTCACCTTCAACGGTTTCCATATTATTTTTTGCCATTGATGTTCAATATTTTTTCCAGCAGAGATTTAATACAGTGTTATATTATGAGGGCAGCAAAACTTGAAATATCATTTGTAAACCCTATTTGCCGCCACAATTGTTCGTTTGTAATGAAGAACAGAAAGAGCATGCTGTCAGCTCCTCCTCGCGTGCTGGCTGAGACTCCCTAAATTACTAAGTCGAAGGGTTGTTCAGAAAGTTATTCCCGGCCCTGGTGCGCATTTAGAAAGGGGCTTTTAGCTCTTCCTGACTGGCTCAAGTCGCTAATTTTGACACGTTCCTCCCGGGGGAGGGGAACAACCCCTGCGTGTCCGGTCGGCACCGTCTCACCCAGGCTCCCTAGACGAGGCTCGAGTCTCTCTCGGGACCGACTTTG